TTTTTTTTTTTTGGTACCAGGGATCGAACTCAGGACCTTGCGCCTGTGAGGCAGGCGGCGGGAACCACTGAGCTAAATCCCCAACCCTAGAAATATTTTTGACTGATTTGTTTGAGTCTTTGTCTCCTCTCTAATGTTTAATCTCACTTTCTTAATCTGTTCTAACTGGACTTAATTTTCAAATTTTCCATTTTTTTTTTCTTTTGCTCATCCTTAACCCTAATCAAGCTTGCACTTCACTAGACAAATAAAAATAAAATTGATACTGACCTTTATTGGAACTACCTTGTGGCTCATCTTTTTTTTTTATGATCTTAAGGACAATGCCTTGTGCTTATCCTCCATTTTCCCACCTTTTACCCCTTAATTGGCAGAGATGGTCAAAAAAGTCTAACTTTCTCTGTACTAGTTAAAAGAGAATTTTTTTTCTAAGACTGAGAATCTAAGCCAGGAGTGCCTTACTACTAAACTACCTCCTCAGCCCTTTTTATTTTTTATTTTGAGACAGGGTCTCTTTGAGTTACCCAGCCTGGGCTCAAACTCTCAGACGTAGTATTAACCTTTCCTCTTGCTAGAGTAGTGGCTCTCAACCTTGGCTGCACATTAGAACCACCTGGGGAACCTTTAGAAATCCCAGGTCCCCGATGCCATCCATGTTCACTAACTCATTCTCTGAGGGTGGGACTCACAGTGAGAATGCCTGTAGGGACTGGAAACTCAAGTTTGTGGGCTAATAGACAGCTTTCACCTCCTACAGCCAGGGGAGGAGGAAGGACACCAATACTGTAACCTGATAAGTATTTCCTAACCAGTGTCACGTAGCCATAACAAACTCTAGAAACCATATTTTAGTATTTTTCATCCAAGCCAATAAGAAAGTGTATGAACATAATAATAATGAGTGAATTTTCAAGTGGCTCAGCTCCTGGCTCTAAAACTTATTGCTCTAGGGCCAGGGATTTAGCTCAGTGGTTCTGGCACCTGCCTTGCAAGCGCAAGGTCCCAAGTTTGATCCCCGGTTCCAAAAAAAAAAAAAACCAACTTACTGCCCTATGACCTGGGTAATATACTTAATCATTTAATATCAATTTCCTAATAGATAAAACAGGTGTAATAATAAAGTCAACCTGTTAGGAATGTCCTGCGAATGAAATGTATATAAAAGCTCCTAGCACCCTACCAGTACATAATGAGTACATACTAAATGTCAGGTGCTGTCAGTATTGTTTATTCATTTATTCCAATGATTATAATACTTAGTTTACCTAGCAACAATAAGGAATAGGATAATCTTAGAAAGGAGAATATTCCAAATAAGAGGGTTTAACATTTTAAAATTGAAGTGGTGGGGCTTAATTTTAAGAGATATTTTACATGCTATCTTGCCATGATCCCTTTCCTATTACCAGTGTATGAAGCGTGTGCCTCAGTATTCATTGACCTCTAGGTATCTCTTTTCTATCCTGACCCCAGAGCTGCCCTATGTTCTGTCTTTTGGCCTGGCCCAGTTTTCCCTACCAGAGTCATTACTGCTCATTGTACTTCTCCCTCTAACCAGGACCTCTCCTGCTACCTCTCTGTGCCTGCTGAGATCTCAGTCACTAACCATTTCCAGCCACTACCAACTCAACCATCCATGCCTTTTCTTGCTTTTACAACTGGCAAACATAAACAGATGTTAATATTCAATTCTTCTGGGATGTTTACATCATTACTTCTTCAAGTAACTGACAACTTTAGTCCTTTCTATTTCTCAAGAACAGAGGCATTGGGCTGGGGATTTAGCTCAATGGTTTTGCCGCCTGCTGCAAAAGCGCAAGGACCAGAGTTTGATCCCCAGTACCAAAAAAAAAAAAAGAACAGGGGCATCTAGTCTTAGTTTTTTATATATATAGTTATTAGAATGAAATTTACCTTGTAGTCATCTTTTGAGTATGGTGAAATATACTCACAGAGGTGTCATAAACTTTCCTCAAGAGACTATTTGAAATGTTTTATAAAAACCTATCTGAACCTATTTATTAACATAGTCATTATAACCATTTTCCTTAAACCTCAATATTCAGATAGACCTCTGGCTTCCCCCTAAAAGAGAGCTCATTTGTATTACCCAGCAAAAAGAGCTGAGCTCCTTGCCTCATTTCAGTCTAAAAGGCCCGTCACTCTCCCAGAGTCCTCACCCCTGGGACACAGTTGTTTCTTCTCCACAGCACTCATAATCCAAACTCATCCTCAAATGGCAGTAATGTATTTGAAGAGCATGTAGGTGCCTCTCTTGGAAAAACATCATCAAATAACTGGATACCCATAAATGGGCCTCTCCATTGCTGTCAACACCCTGTGCCCCACCTCCTACCTGCTTGGCCTAGTAACATTCAGAGAATCCAGAATGGGAAACAAAATGCCACACTCGTTGTCCCCACCACCCATGCATCCTGACTCGAGACTCACAGCCTCCATGTTTCCCTGTTTCGTCTTAGCAGTGTAGCGCACTTCTCCATCCCTGCACCCTCTTCCCACACACACATGCATCCTAAGTAGACACCAAAAAAATCTCTGTGCCAGTCTCTTCTTTGGTCTCTCTCTGTCACTGCCTCTCTCTTTATCCCATATATAAATGAGCAAAGTTCCTAATCATAACTTTTTAGTGTAAAAATGGTGTTAATATATTAGATGAAATACTAATGTTAATACAATTAAATGAAATACTGCTGAATAAGGAACCAGATGCTAAAGTCTGTCCAAAGGGCAACATGGTCTCCATAATAAACCTATTCATACTCCTTATTAAGCCTAGGTAAGTCCCATCATTCAAAATTAGAAACAAAAAAAACTGTACTTTAAATTTTTATTTAGTATATTACAACCCATATGTTTTTCTGATATATATATATATATATTTTTTGGTACCGGGGATGGAACTCCGGTCCTTGAGCTTGCCCAGCAGGCAGCAAAACCACTGAGCTAAATCCCCGGCCCTTTCTGATATTTTATTGGCAATTCATGGTGTTTTGGTGCCAAACACAGAGCCCTTGAAATCTTGCACAGTTTTGCATGTAACAGGTATTCATTAAATGTTCATTAAATGTTATGAACAGTATTTCATGGGCTGCATTGGAAATGTAACAATTTATGTAGTATTATTCCTCTAAAAATGTATTCCAAACTCAAAAAAAAAAAAAAACCTAACATCCTTAATAAACCAGATTGTCTGCCTAGAAACTAAAGAGTCAGGAGCTGGAATTCCTTTCTGCCTGGACTCATCTTCCATATCAGATATAAACATTGCCCTGGGCACAGTAAGCTTTACCAGTAAAAATGTATTGCATGCATGATTGCCACCAG